GTAACTCTCTGCGATGCTGTGGTCACTCTCCATGTAGCATCAATTATGCTAATGCTAGCTGTCACGTTGTCTCGTACTGGCTACACCTCCGCTCTCTACCCCACCCTCCCCTACTCACTTTGATGCATTTTTCAAATTTCGCCTTGGGGCGGAGTTATCTTTTCACGGGAGTGGGGGGGTGTAAGATACACTTTAAGTCCATTTTAAATGGAAGTGTGCAGAAAATTGCTGGCATTTCATTTGTTTATGTTTCACCCTCTTGGCTCCTGTACTTAACAAATAGACTGTAGTATAATCCTATAGACCTACTCACATCACTGACTGAGCAGTGCTAAAGCATCTAAATCTATAATCACTGCTCCGTCTCATCTTTTCTGTTCGAAATGCCATGCTGACCTAACAGACTTGTGCTTGTGTTTTTCTGGAGCAATATAAAATGGGGAATAAAAAGCCCAAGATGAAAATCTGTGTCTCCAAACCCGAGCAGATAACATCTACCAGCAATAAATGGGAGATAATTAGAACTGTCCCTTTAATTAATGACACCTTATCTTATTACCAATGAAGAAGACGGAGATAGAGGAGGGAGAATTAGGGGACAAAGTCAGATGGAAAAGGAAGTGGAGAGAAAAGGAAGACATTAGGGAGATTTAAAAAAGAGCAGAATAATTGATGGGAGTAAAGGCACAAATGGAGGAGGAAGAATTTAACGAGTAGATTGTTGTAGAATCCTAGTGTTTTTATTAAGATGTAAGGCTGTTTATAAGTACAAAAGGGAGCACTAATAGCCCTCTAAGAACCTCTGTTCAGTTCTGCTTTTTTCCAACTTGTGTCTAACTAAAATCATTGCATTTTAATGACAAGCTGTTAACCCGTGCAGCCTTCTGCTTCAGACACACAGCAGCTGGTCAGACAAACAATTATTGAGCATATGTTCCAACCTTTATGTGCTGCTTGTTTTGCAGAACACTGGAAGTTTTTCTGTACTGAAGCTGAGGAAGAGATGTTAAAAAAAGTAATAAGAGCAGAACAGTGAGGGGAAGGAGAAATGGTTATCTGCGGAATCAAAGTGGGCGTGTCAAAAGCATAAACACTGTGGGCTACGAGGCCTACATGACAGTATCCTTAGACCTTGCTCGATCTCTTTACAGCCTGACCCTGACCCCAACACTAAGGTTAACCAGGAGAAATGTGACCCAAGTAGGGTTCTCCAGAAAAAGTGGTGCCGTACAGTAACGCCCCTTTTGTTCTTGTCCAGTGAGGTGGTGCCGTACGGTGTCGCCCCTTTTTTGCTTGTCCAGTCAGGTGTGTCCCTTTAACAAAGTCCGTCAAATCAGCTGTGTTGCTTTAGAATCGCCTTTCCTTGTGACACGCCCACTCGCCCTACTTGAGGGGAAATACAAAATAATAAATCTGCTAAATTAAAATAAAAATAAAAACCTTGCCCTTCTTAAACTTCCGTTACATTGAAACTGTGGTTTTGTTTAAAGAAGTAACTTTTCACACATTTATGTCTTTCACCTCCAGGTTGTGACCCGATACCAGTGGAGTACCTGCGCTGGGGGGATCCTGAACCCATTGCTGCTGTGGTCTTTGCCTGCCTCGGTCTTATGGCCACATTCTTTGTCACTGCAGTCTTTATCCGGTAGCAAATCACTTCCTGATTTACTGATGTGTTTAAATTCTTGTTGCCCTTTTTTTTGTATCTTCACCAGTGATATTCTCTTCTGTTCAATGTGTGTGTTGAAGTTTCCGGGACACCCCTGTGGTCAAATCCTCCAGCAGGGAACTGTGTTACATTATTCTGGCAGGGATCTGCCTGGGATACCTGTGCACCTTTACCCTCATAGCAAAGCCCCACGTCGTCCACTGCTACCTCCAACGACTGGGGATTGGCCTATCTCCTGCCATGAGTTACTCTGCACTTGTCACCAAGGTGAGAACTGGATAAATGTGATAAAACTGCAGCAAAAATTAGTCTTTTTTTTCCCCATTAAGATAATATTAACAATAAGTGCAGTGGCTTTAGGGTAGAAATACAAGTAAAAAGCTAAAAATAAATACAGAATGTTTGCTAACTGTAATTTATTCTAATGATGATTTGTATCCGGCTCCAGACAAACCGCATCGCTCGGATCCTGGCAGGAAGCAAGAAGAAGATCTGCACAAAGAAACCTCGCTTCATGTCCGCCTGTGCTCAGCTTATCATTGCCTTCCTCCTCATACTGCTGCAGCTGGGCATCATTGTGGCTCTTTTTCTTATGGAGCCACCAAAGGTAAGTCCTGTGTGAGCCACTTCAGAGAAGGTTGTTTTTAAGCAGAGAAATAAAAACAGTGCATCAAAAAGAAGACTACATCATTTGAATAAAACTTGACACAAATTAGCACTTTATAAACCAATCTCACTTTTAGTAACTCTGGGGGAATTTTGTTGAGTTTTTTGGGTAGGTAATTTATTTTAACAGTTTGTGCTAATAGTTTTGTCAGACCTTTATTTACTGCCTTGTCACAACCATTCACCACGTACAGGTAATCCACGACTACCCCAGCATCCGCCAGGTCAATCTCATTTGCAACACCACCAACCTCGGAGTGGTTGCCCCCCTGGGATACAACGGCCTGCTCATCCTCAGCTGCACCTTTTATGCCTTCAAGGTACAAATTGAAAAATTAACAAACAAATGTGAAATGCAAATGCAGTTCTTACTGTTCAGGAATAGATAGGTAGAATTTACTGTCATTATACTGAAGTACAACAGAATTAAGCATCAATCCTTATAGTGCTAACCACAATAAAAACACAAAATTCAATAAAACACAGTAAAAACAATAAAAAAACAAATAAAACTCTCTGAACTAATCTGAATTTAATCAAATATTACACATAATAGCAAAATACTGCCTTGCTTACAGTATCCCCAAATATTGCGATATCATATCGTGACCCCAGTGTCATGATATGTATCATATGACCAAATTCTTGCCATACACAGCCTTACCTAACTGAGTAAAATGACATGCTTGCAATGGTGAAGTTTTTCTCTGCATTTGCACACACTTTATACTGCAGTTTAATAAAATTAAAACTGTTTTAAGACAAAACTATAACTATTGCAAGTTAGTTACTAGTGTTAAACTATACAAGTAATTAACCCATATTAAATATGACTACAAAACATTTATATTTTTAATCCTTTTCTCTTTTTTGTAATTCTTTTCATCACAGTGAAGCCACATGTAAAGTAGTGAATGATGGTTGTGTGACAATAACAATTGTTCATGCTAAACTTGGTAGTCATGTGCATCAAATAGCATCAAGTCAAAGGTTTTTTCAAGATAACTTTTGGGTATGACAACATGACAGCCACATTGTAAAAGTTTAGGTTTCTTATTTGAATCAGAAATCTAGTTTTAGTATGTACTGTTCAGTGTCTTACCAACAAAACATGAAGAGAAATGCTAAAATTACTGTGAATGTTTGGTTTTCTGAAATTGTGTCATGCACATAATAAAGCCAGTGTTTGATTGCCGGTGACCCCGCAGACATTGATTTTCAGTGTGAGAGCTGAAGCATGAAGAGACACAGCATGAAAAAAAATATCAAGCAATGTTTGGAACACAGCAGCTGAGGACATCAACCTGACTCAGGTGGTTTAGGATTATTGGCTCCATGTTTCACCTGTCACACTCGCACAGTCAACTGAAGTTAGCAATAAGATTATAGCTGCAATGCCAAGGCAGTTGTTAAATGATGGTGTAAGTATTTATTCTGACTGTGGGGTCTGTTCTCAAAAGCTAACAAGGGTTTTTATTTGCTTTGAAGCTGAGAAAATAAACAAAGCTGAGGCACTGTAGTGATATTTATGAACTCTTGTCTTGCTCTTTTACATTGTCTCCGTTTTCCTCACAGACTCGCAACGTTCCTGCTAATTTCAATGAGGCCAAGTACATTGCTTTTACAATGTACACTACCTGCATCATTTGGCTGGCATTTGTACCCATCTACTTTGGCTCCAACTACAAAATTATCACCATGTGCTTCAGTGTAAGCCTCAGTGCCACCGTGGCTTTATGCTGCATGTTTGTACCCAAGGTAAGATTGAAAATAAAGACTTTTTTACTGTTCTGATGTGTTCCCACAGTCTCTACTGTAAGCTGCACCCGTTTCTGATGTTTTTTCAAGTAGTCACCTGTAAAGAGGAAAAGAGGAAACCTTAAAGTAACTGTGATGTGCAAAGACAATACTTAACATTTAGGAAACTTGGCATAATACTCACTGTTTTATTCATTTTGTCACATAACTGTCATATTTTCTTTAAAATGTGGTTCAGCCAAAATGAAACAGGAAGTGACATCATAGGGGATCTCTTTAGGAAAAGGAACTCCATGGTCTTTGTTCATTAAAACATTATTTGAACTCTGACTCTTCATTTCTCCCTGATAGTAACTCAAAATAATCTAAATAAATATTGGATTCTTCTCTAAAGTTTGGGTGGTTAGCAGTTTTATTATTGTTCTGTTCACATGCACACATTCCCCTTTGACATCACTTCCTGTTACTTTACATGCAAATATCTCAGCAACGGTTCATGTCAGCAGCGTGAAATTTGTTTTACAATGCTTTATCAATTTTATCTTTCAAAAAATGCATTCAGATTTATTACAAAATTTGATGCCACATGCACTTTAAAGTTAGTTTGGCTGTAATCTCAATCAGAACAAAATGTAAAATCCCCCAAAAAAGGTAAAAAAACAAACAAACACAAGGACTGGATTTGATTTTGAAGCTGAAGACATTTCACTTCTTGTCCAGGAAGCTTTCTCAGTTCAAAAAGTCTGGAGTATTGTGGAGTTCCAAGCTTTATAGACCTAAAATAGGCCTTGTTAGTGCTTTTTTTGCCTGGTTCACATTATTATCTTCAAAATTTGAGACACAAGAGCCCCCTGTGCTTTTATGAAAAAGGTAAGAAGAGAGTTTTTTATTGACCGATGACAATAAATGGCCTTGTCTTTTTTCCCCCTTAGTAAGTCATGTTTAAAATGTTTTCTTTGAAACCAGGTGTACATCATCCTGGCCAAACCAGAGCGAAACGTGCGCAGTGCCTTTACCACGAGCACAGTGGTGCGCATGCATGTGGGCGACGGCAAATCGTCTTCGGCTGCCAGCCGTTCTTCCAGCCTGGTTAACCTGTGGAAACGCAGAGGCTCGACTGCAGAGACACTCAGGTATAACTGTGTTTGGAGTGCCGAATGTGTTTGCCCCTGGAGGCTTGAAGCCCAGGTTAATGCCAGGTTACTCATGAGTTACAGTCCAAGGCCACTTTCTGTAATGGCTCCACTTAGGAAAGCAGTTATGGTCTCTGTGTGTTTGAACGTTCTGAGAGATTTATTATCTGTATTCCCTTGAATATACTTGACTTTTTTTTCCGACCCCGACATGAACTGTAGAAAACGGCCTAATGTAGATGTGACAAAGGAGGAGAGGCAGGAGGATACCAAGTGGAAAACGAGGAAAACAAACTGAAAAAGATAAATGGGAACAGAAATGACGGGCTGAAGTGATGTCAAGTAAAAAAAAAAAGAGGACCAAAGGAGCAGTGTGCAAAAGGGAGGACATTATAGATCTTGCACCCGCTTTTCAGGCCATCCACAGTTATCCACGATGACAAGGAACTGATCAAAGCACTCAAAAGGAGGGACGTGTAGCCTCTTGTCCGAGAAAAAAAACAGGAACACATTTTCATTTGTCAGCAGGTTACTCTTGCTCACCCTGCGTGGCAAGCAAGATTTCAATCACACTAAAAAAAAAAAATGTCAGGAGCGTTTCAGTCTTTGTTCCCCTCATTCCTTGCCTTCCCCGCTCTGTCTCTTTTGGTCCTGCCGTCCTCTGTGGGTGGTGGTAATTGGCAGGGCTGTCTATCTCTTGGGCGAAAGGCTGGAAGCGGTTGTGTTTGAGATGCTGTCATTGTCAGTGCAGTCTGAACAGGCACGGACAGAGATGAATCAGGCGGACTTGAGGGAAAAGAAACTTTTGAAGTAATAAAATGTTTGATTCAAGTGTTTGAAACGGTGAGAAAAGTGTGGCTTACCTTCACCAGACATTAAAATCGTTCTCTAAGTTTGAATACACTTTATGTAAGAAACAATACTGATTCACTATGTGCAACATGTATCCACATGAGTTCTGATGAAGTGATCACAGAACGCTTTATCTGCAGATTACAATCAACTCGTTTAATAAATGGACGTGTGAATGTGCCGCCAGGGCAGTTCCAGTCCTTTCACCATCAGTCATGATGGTGAGAGGTTTGAATCAGGGCTTCCAGTATGATTTAATCACACTATTTAACCTGACAAAAGGGTGGAGGGGCAGCAGGGGACAGAGCTCTGTGGCTGAGGTGAAACAGTGAAAAGTTGGAAGGAAAAGAAATTGCAAGGGAGGCTGTCTTCCAATTAAATGTCAGAGGTCTGATCCCCGGCCACTGCACCATGCCAATATGTCCTTGGGCAAGACACTAACCTACTGCTCCTAATATATTTGTGTCAACAGTCATGTGTATAGTGTGTGAACTATATAACGCGTGGGTTAATGAGAAACTTTATAAGGCAATTTGCAGAACCAAGACAGGTTAAAAAGATAATAGAAAAAGTAAAAGTGTAGATTTCTATTTAGCCAGATGGATTATGATGAAGTTTTTAGGCCACACTATGATATATGTATATATTTTTAAATTATGAGGATAAAGTCATAATATTACAACTTTTTTCTTGTAATATTGTGACTTTAATCTTGTAAAAAAATTATGACTTTATTCATTTTAGTTTTGTGACTTTATTTTCAAAATATGACATTTTCTAATACAATGACTTTATTCTCATTATATTATGATTTTATTGTAATATTATGACTTTATTTTTGTATAATTATCACATTATTCTCACATTATGACTTTTTTCTCGTAATATTATGATTGTATTATTGTAATATTATGACTTGATTCTTTTAATATTGTGACTTTATTCTAGCAATATTACAACTTTATTCATGTTATATTATGACTTTATTTTTACATTATTGTAACCCTATTTACATATTTTTACTTTATTCATGTTGTAGTATAAAACCTCATAGTGTGACCCTAATCCCACATTATAGATTTGTGTGGGTAAATCATATTTTCAGGTAAATGTTTTAATTAATTCTAATTCTGTCATTACTTGCTATTACTATTTAGTCACAAAATGATCCTGGAAAAAAAAAGTATTGAATTTAGTTTTTTGTTTCCTTGCTGTTCTGCAGCTCCAATGGCAAATCTGTTTCTTGGGCTCAGACGGAGCGCAGCAGTTCACATGGCAACCACCTGTGGCAGCGGCTGTCCTTCCACATCAAGAAGAAGGAGAACAATCAGACCGCAGTTATTAAGCCCTTCTCCAAGACCTCTGAGGAGCGGTACCTCGGTGGGGCCGACATGCCGCCGCATGTACCTCTGCCGTCCCTCCCCTCCATGTCCTCCCTGCCAACTCATCCCGACGGCGCCACGGATAAGACCCTGTACGAGCTGTCGGAAGCGGAGGAGCACTACTCGATGACGTACCGGCCGCAGACGCCGTCACCTATCAGCACCATCAGCCAGAGGATCGGTGCGAGCTCAGTGGAAGAGCCTCAGATGGCCGCTGCTCCTCAGTACTCCAGCAGCATCTGCAGCGGTGGCAGCGGCGCCAGCAGCTGCGGACCCCCCAGCAGCGGCTCTGCTGCGGCCGGAAGCGACGGCCGCTTGGTCGTCGTGGACGACTGCCCCGCGGCGCCCCAGAGTTCACTGATGGACCAGATCAGCTGCGTGGTGAACCGCTTCACTGCCAACATCTCGGAGCTGAACAGCATGATGCTCTACACCTCTCCTTCGCATACAAACAAACACACGCCGCCCTCCCCCCACCCCCACGACCCCTACTTGTTGCCCCGTGAGCTCCCGATGCCCCCGACCCTCACCACCTACGCTGACGTCCAGCCCCTCCCCCACGCCGAGGCCAGCCGGGGCGGCTGTCCCGTTCACTCTCTTCCTCGTTCGCCGTACCCGCTGCCGCCGCCTCACCGCCACGCCTCCCCCTCCCTCTCCCCCATGCGAGGAAACCTGGCCACCTGCCACCCCGACTCCCCCCTGATGAGGGCGGAGCTGGATGAGGAACTAATCGCTTTAACGCCTCCGTCGCCCTTCCGTGACTCTCTGGCGTCCAGCAGTAGCTCCCAGATTTCAGAGACGGGTCTGTACGTTCCCCCAGTCCCTTCCCATCCTCCCCCGTCTCCCCCTTCACCCAGATATGCCAGACTGACCCTCAGAAACTACAGTCAGAGCTCATCCTCACTGTGAGGCTGTCAAAACGAGTCCAATGGAGCAGAAAGCAGACGGATCGGACTGAAATTCATTCGTCATTGTTTGGAGAAGAAAAAAAAAGTAGTTAAAGTAGAGGGCTGATTGGTGAAGACACCAAGCTGTGTTTGTGTTTACATGTTTACATGTTTACAGCAAGGCGCAAGTTTAAGAGGCGTGCCAGTGTCGTATTTTCTTGCTGTCTCTCACGAGTGACGGAAGAAGATGGCCGCCTGTCTCTGAGCTGTTTTGGCATCAGTTGCAGCAGAGATCATTCCTGACCGTTTAAGTCTATTCAGTATCAATCAGCTGAAGCTAGTGGCTTTAAGGTAACTTGGCTGTCAACTAATTAAAGGAAGTTTGTGTGCGTGCATTAGTGGGTATGAGTGTGTTTTTGAAAAACGCAGAGAGGTGAAAGGGAGATGGCAGTGGAGCGTGTTAGGAGGGGAATTGTCTCCTCCAGGCTGTAGGATCTAAAGTGAGGTGATTAAGGGCACATAGTTTATATTTGCTCATAGACACACGCACAACGACACAACAGTGTGAGCACACTCATACAAATGAGATGTGCAGGGGGAAAGCACTGTAACTATAAAATAAGTGGATTTGTCTTCTGTGGTGAAATCCCACATCCTTCTAACAAAAGTGCATTGTGGGAACGATGTTATCATGCGAAAGCGGTACCTTACTCTATTTTTGTTACCAATCCAACATCTTTTATGTCCTCTTCGATCTGCTTCCACCTTCATCGTCCCTCTTTCTCATGCAGCTTTCTTTTTCAATATTTTCTACTCTTTCAACTTTTGTCAGAAAATTTCGAATGTATATTTTCTACATGATTCCTGAAGCGGTTGGGACCAAAACTTTTTTGTAGCTTTCTGTCTGTAACTTGAGAAAGAGGGCGAACGGGGTTCTGACAAGACCAGGCCTTGTTTCCTCATAAACATCTTCGCTTTCAGATCTCATTCAGGTGGATTATTGGGTGAAATCTGACCTCAGAGCTTACTGCTAATGCATGACATTTAACAGTCCATTTTGTACGGCTCAGCTGGATCCCAGTCATGGCATTTTCCTGATACAATGTGTCAGCGGGACGCAGCAGCCCTGCTTCATCAAAGACGGTGTTTTGAACGGGATTAATTGGGGTGGAAGTCATCTTGAATGTTGAATCAATTGATTCACGCTGGGCGAAAGAGTCTTCTTCAGTGCCCTGAAGGTCATCTGTTGAACAAGTTTTGTGACTTTTTCCTGTTTTTTAGTGAAAGAAGACAAAATGCATTTAAACTGACATTGAGTTTGGGGCGAGCCTTTTAAACAGAGGCACATAACTTTCTCAATATATCTTCGAGCAAACTGTAAAAAGAATGACTGATATCCACTACAGCCAGTCAAAATGTTCACAACACACAGCCAAATAAACCCTGAGATGAACAGTATGTTGTTCCAACTTAAATAAAAACTTGCCTGTTTTGGGACATTGTCTGTCTTGCTGAGAGTTAGATGAGACTAATGTCTGAGACCACAAGCAGAAGGTTTGTATCCTTCATGTTTTTACATTTTTAGGCACTAGATTGCACATAAATATACAATATAAATGTCTATATTTATATTTATTATCCTTAAAGGTTTAGTAGTACTTAATCATGTCAAATGGTAAATTAAAATCCACTGAATTAATAGCTTAAAAAAGGACATTTGTGTTTCAGCAAGTTATGACTTGTCTCCAATCTGTTTAGGTTTAAGAAAACTTGATTAGATCAACCAAAGAGTCTACTTATGGTGCCCATCCAGTGACATTGGATTTTTTTTAAATCTCGTAGCCACGGTTATTATCATATGGACACAAAATGAGACATAGTAGCTGCGTTTCCATTGCAAATGTGCGCAAAACTTTGTTGATATTCTGTTAATGTCGACAAAACACAGTTTCGCAACTGCGGTGTTTCCATTAAGTAAGAAATGCTATTAAAGTCACGCGTGAATATGTTTGTTCTCGCGATAAGTCATTAAAAACATGGCGGCAATGGATGTAAACACATAGCATATTGCTACCATGACACTAGCGCTCATCATCAGAGGAGACGTCGATGCCTTTTATCGAGGCTTTCCAGAGACAAGTCCCTACTTGGGAGCGGCTACGTATGCTGTGTTTTTGGGAAATTGTAATTGGTGAGTTTACTATATTTTACTACTTCTGTGATATTACTACTACTTCTACTTCCTGTTACCTTCTTCTTCGTCATCTTTTTCGCCCGTAGAAACAGCTGGTTGTTGATCACGTGACTCCAGTGATGCGAAAAAGTGGTTCCATTGCAGTTTTGCGAAAAACACCAATTTCAGTACGGCCGAAATACCACCTCATCCTAGCGCAAAAACATTTTGTCGAAAAACATAATTTTTTTCTAATCTGACGTGTTTTCATTGAAAAAATTTATTTTCGAAATTCTAATTTGCACATTTTCATGGTCAACGGAAACGCAGCCAGTGTGAGAGGGGTCCCTGTTTTAAGTGTTGAGCTTCAAAAAAAGAAAATAAAGCTTCATGGAGAAATACAACTTCAGTCATCAGCTGCGTCTTATAGCTGCAACATACTGTTTATTGATGAGAATAACTTCATGCTTAACATAGTGACTTAAGTATCTGTCATTCATTACTATATTAAAATAAAAATTAAATTAGTACAAACTTCTCCATATACACGATCAACAGTCTCTGCGTGGAATTGTCTGCAATAATTATTTCATGGTCACGAGCTAATTATCTCGTGGCCATGCGTTATTTATCCCATGGCCACATGTTAGAATCACGTGACCCTAAGATACATTTTTTATCCAATGTCACTGAGCAGGCTCCGTATATATAAACTGTTATCAAATGATTTTTTTATTGCAGACTATCTAAATCAATATCAATAAAAATGATCAGTTTAGTTAAGTGAAGGAAACACTGTGCCAATGCTGAGACAACACTGTGGTTGCTGTGTGATCACTGTCAGAGGCATTTTTTACTTCTAAGATAAACATTAAAGTAATTTATTTTTAAAAAGCTAAAGTTATTTTCTTCTTTAATGTTACGGAGGACAATCAGTACCACTGTCATGTTAAATATTTAGGGTCTCTGTTGAATCACAATCTCATGATAACGATATGTCTGAAAAGTCATGAACAGCTGTTGTATTTCTACACTTTTAGTACTTGAACATAAACAAAAAGTTGTAAATGTATATTTAGTCACCTGAAAGTTTGCAGCTGTTTTTGCTAAGCTAACTGGCTCCTCTTTATGACGACACAAGAGTGGTGTCAAAGGTCTCAGCTCACTCTCAGCAAGAATCAGTCCATTTTCAGATGTTGCTGTTTTGTTATTTAACCAGGCATGTCCAATGGATAATATACTGTAGTTTTGAGGGGAGGCCTGAAGACAGCCTAAATGTGCAGGGAGAAACCAGAGTACCCTACACGAACATGTGGATGCATGTAAACTCCCAACCCCAGACTTGAAACCAGGACCTTGTTGCTGTGAGGCACCAGTGCTAACCACTGATCCATCATGCTGCCAACATCAGTCAGGTCTGGCCTTGTGTCACACTTCCTGAATTGTAGAAAACATTCAGAGTGGACATTCTTCCTCTGAAAGCTTACGTGTAATAGAATTTTTCCAACGATTTTTCTAGCAGACATGTTACAGGAAGAGAATTACCTTGTCTCGTATTAAGAGATGTTTTTATAGTTGTCCAAACAACTGCAAAAACCTGAAGTGGCACATTTGGTTCTGTAAGAATTGGGTATGCCTTTAAATTGATTGTATTTACGCGTGCCAACACTTTCATTTCCTGAGTCGTTCAGGGGAGATAAAATGTCCCGATGAGTAAAGCCGCTTTAGAGATAGGAGGCCTTGGCTTTCTGTCAGCTCCCTCCACAGAGAGAAAATAAAAACAACACAGAAATCGTTAAAGGGGTTATAATGCACAAATTTTTTGACACAGATTTAAAACTAAAATCGGTCAAGTGGTATCAAAGCAGAAATCAGTGCTTCAAATTGTTGCTGGTAAATCGTTGCCCATCATCTTTCCCAGCTTTTTTCTTCTGCATTTGATGCGGTTCGTGTTCTGATTTCTGTTTCGTGCTCGACCGCAGCCAGCAAGAACAAACCCAGACAACGTGATTCTGTAAATATTAAGGGCATGCAAAGACATTTTCGTTTTGTTTCAGATGAAAGTTATTTTATTTACATATCAACAAAGCTTAAAAAGAAGAAAAAAAGATGTTTTTAACTATAACATACAGTACTGATGTGTTACGACTAGAGAAACTGTGTTACTTTGCTGAATGTGTGAGTGACCAATCCTATTCCGATGTCTTGTAATTAAACAATATTATAATAATAATTACTATTAATATGATTATTGTGCCAAAGGGGTGAGGGTTGTCTAGTTTACTAGGGTTGTGGGTAAATATGTGTTTTCATTAAAAAGTGAGGAAAAAATGTAAATGTTTCTATTGTTTTTGGATAATTTATAGATAAATATTTCACTTTTTTAGTGTAAAAGCAATATTATCTGTATGTATACAAGGTGCACATTTTTTAATCATCAAATGTCATTTTTTAAATGTTTCACTGGAGGTTAATTTAATGAATCATGGTAGGTAGGTAGGTTGAGCTTTTTTTGGTATTTTGTCTGAATTTGTGTTTAATGTTTTCAGTTTTTTTTCCACTAGTGGAAAAAGGATAAATTCTGAGTTTGCTGTTGATGTGAAGTTTGGTAAATTAGGGTGCAGATTTTGCTTTGTCTCAACTTCATGTGAAAGGGGAAACCAAGGTTAATAACTGGAAAAAACATCAAATTTTTATAAGAAATTGTCATTTTAGTTGGTTCCTTTTTAAAGAGGTCTTTAGTGCTTCACTGTAACTTTCCCTCGCATCATTTTAATAACCTGTCGTCCAAAACTCACCTGTGTTTTGGTTGAGACATTTCAGGGAGGAGACAGTTTGTTTGTTTGTTGCTGTTGCTGTCAGTGTTTGGGACGTGCCGAACAAATCGCTAGCTTCAGCACTTCAGCAGCGTTTAGGAGCCTCCTGGGTGACGCTCGACAGTGTTGCTGCCTCTGCAGAACGAGCAGGATTTACCTCCTGCATCATGCGTCTTGTTTTTTTTTATTGGCTTTATGATTTTCATCATGCAGGATGGTCGTTTATGAAGAAGTCACAGAGGCTAAGTTGTGGTTGTGTTGAAAGATGGTGGTAAACGTTTGAGTCGAGTCACAGTAAACTGCTTGAACTCCATTAATCCGAGACGTTAACAAAATAATTTAAATCTCCTTTTATCTGTTTTGAGATTTTCCTTCTGAATGAGGTAAAGGGTTGTGTTGTGGCATGACGAACCTTCAGAAAACTCCCACTATTTTTTAACGTGTATTTACCTCCTAATGTTGTTTAAGCTATTTTTCCTGCATACATTCTAACAAATTTGACCGCTTTAGACAAGCTCATCTGTTGACTGAAAAAAAAAAGATACAGATTCTTGTTTTATGACACTTCAAACCAGCCCCCTGGTTATCAAATGTTTGCTCTTATCTTGCTTCTCATTACACACCAGCTGATCCTGGTGTTGTATCACCCGTCTCCCTTCAACATCATTTACAGCCTTTTAACCAGACAAGGGAATTTGTTTTCCCTCTTTTTGGTGATGGGAGGCTTTAGATAGAAATACTTTAGATAGAGTCTTTAGATAGAAAAAATTTTGAATGTTTTTTAATAACACAAAAATCTCCCTTTTGGGTTTTGATTGTGAAGAGAAAACACCATATTAAGATATTTTGATTCAATATAAGACGGGTGAAGTTGTGAAATATAATTTTCATTTGTTGTGTACCAAGTTAAAGATCATACTTAAAGGTAAAGTTAATGAGTTTATTTGAATAATAATTTACTTTCCATTTTCCAAAATAAGCACTCTAAACTGATAAAACTGCAATTTCTTTTGTTATTTATCACAGACTCCAGGTTGCACAAGTGAAATAGCAGAGCTACTCTGCACTGTCTGCTTTTGATTTAATTGGTTTAATCTAATACATAAAAATAGTATGTTTACCATGTAAACAGCACACTGACATGTGGTTGTATACATTGTCAGGGTGGACCAGGAGAGGTTTGTTTTGGAAGCTTCCTGTCTTATGTGATTAACATACTGAGTGCATCATTGTCTAAACCTGATTGTTGATGATGATGACATCAGTGAAACCCTGGAAGTTTTCTAGCATTTATGCTGTTTGCTTAAACTGTGTTAAAAACAATAAGTATTTCTTTTATTTAACAATTAGGTTGATTTAATAAAGAGTTCTTTAAAGCAATACAAAGCTTTAAGACAGAGGCGTATAGTATTTACTATATTACTTTGTTTCTGTTACTGCAGGATCTGTAATTTTGCAAAGTATGTTTTAAAATTGTAACTTTTACATAAATTTCATTACATTCAAAACTTAAAAATTATACTTTTATTTCTTTACTTTAAAATTTAACACCTACTTACAAGTTACAAATTTAAATTTGGAGGTTAAATTAAGGAGGTTTTTATGCACACTAAAAAAATGAAGTGTTGGATTTACTTAATCAGGTTATGCCAGCTGGTTCCAAACCGGATTGAGCAAATGTAGGAACCAGTTGACATAACCTGATTAAGTAAGTTCAACACTTCATTTCTTAGTGTGTGTGTAAAAGTACCACAGTTACTTTCCCAATTATTGGGCTTCATGCAAGAACCGTTCGTACAAACAGATTTGTTCTTAAGTTTTGCGTACAAGTGATTTAGAAGAACTTGTGGCATTCATCAATTTTCTCGTATTGTAAGATTTTTTTCAGATATGAACAAAATTCATGTTTTGTCCAGACCTGTCGTATATTTTACAAGCAGTCAGTCTGCTGTTATCCAGACTGA